CCTTTGAATGATTTAGATTTTAGAGTGAACGAAAATTACTGCAAATGGAAACTTAAGAACCAGCTTAATAAAATTCATTACTACATGAACTCAATAAAAGGATAATGGAATATGTTCAGAATACAATTAATGTTTGTAGATTTTCAGGAGAAACTAGGGATAAATATATGACCATAAAAATCAGCTATTGTACATCATATTGAAGCACCAACTCCTGATTGACAAAAAATTCTTGCACAGTCCAACCATTCTTATTGATCATAGTTATTAGGCTTTATGTGACAAATTTTGTGACACTTCAAGGAGGGGCTATTTGTGGAAGTTTTCAGATATTGAGCCAAGATGCTGCTCTCTTTAATGTATGACAAAAGGCATCACCTAGGTTGGTTCGATTAAAATGAGGTGTTTGGAAGGATTGATAAAGAACAAGTTTAACCTCATCTAAAGTTCAACAAAGGGGTTGCCCTGAACATGTCTTGATATACTTTATCTCCAAGCTTTTACCTTTCAATGAAGTGGTGTCCCTTGTGCCTCATATGATAGTGTACCAGATAAGACCATCACTAGCGTTGCTACTTTGATTTCCTTGGCAGTTTTTGGCAGACTCAACTTCCCATGCACATTTGAGTAAATTATTCTTTGCTTGCCTAATTATCTAAACCTACCTAGGACCAATATGGCACAAACGGATCCCTTGGCCAAAGTGAAAAGAAGATCAAATGAGCTGTAACTTGTTTATATCTCTTTTCCCAGAGAACCTTTGTTTTTCAGGGGGGAGTTCTTCTGTTGAGAAAAATGTAGGATTGGAGAGTAACCTTTGTTTTTCCCAGAGAACCTTTCTAAAACTTACAAGTCACATTAACGTGATCCTCTTTGCATGATATCATCTTCTGAATTTTCAGTAAAGTATCAATATTGTACTTCCATCCTTTTGTATCCCAACTAACTCTTCAGTAGAAATAAACCTTCATCCAAATCATGAACATTAGAAGTAGTAAGCAGAGGCAAGAAGGCTGTGCCACTTGAATCCCCTACTCAATAACGCCCATATTTAAAATATTAACTTCTTGTTATGACTTATTTTCATATACAAGTCTTGCAACATTTGGACCTCAACACAGTCCCTACCGTAATAAACAGTTATACAAAACCACATATCATATCCCTCTTTTGAAACTCATGCTATAAGAAATTTCCACTGTTCCATTAGTTCTATCCATAGAATCAAAGTCAATTCTTGACAACAACACTGGCCATCTCATAAACTCTCAGCAGTTCTGCAGTGGCATTTTTTTCCACCGGGTAATCTTTGGTACTAATTACTAAATATAAACCGCATCTTATCTGGACCTCATTTTCAACTTTATGTTACATCCATAGTTGTTAGTATCGTACGATACGCGATACGTATTATACGATACGTTACGATACGGATCGTAGTTATGTATCGTTTTTGTACCGTATCATCCGATACACGATACGTTTTTACGATACGTATCGGTACGATACTACCGATACGCGCAAAACCTGTTTTTTTTTTTTTTTTTCTTCCTGAAACGACGTCGTTTTGTTTAAATAAGACACTAATTTTTTTTTTGTATAAAAATTTCTGAATCTTGATTAATTTTATGGATTGAGTTCAAAATAGATGTTAGAAATTTAGATTAAAAGTCTCTTTGAGATTTGAAGTTTGAATTAGTGAACTATGGTTGTAAACTTTGCATTATAATATTAGTGAACTATGTTGATGACTTGAATAGGTGGTGAAATATGAATGAAATGCTATATTTTTATAAATGTATGATTTTTTTTCAAAGGTATATATATATTTTTTATTATTTATTTAAAATTGCACCGTATCTTACGATACACGATACGATACGATACACTATTTTTAAAAAACGATACGCTTCCGATACACGATTTGATAACTATAGTTACATCCAACCTTGTGGTGTAAAGTTCATTGATGTAAAATTTTTCAAATCGTATTTTGGAAAACTCTTCGCATTAGATCCTAGACAAAGCACTAAATCATATGTTGCTATCCTACAAATTCTGCATAGACCCAGTGATGCTTGGCCATGGACTTTAAAATGGCCTTATTAAGCTTCAAACCTCACAAAATGTATTTACATGAGTCGACCCTTGAAAGTTATGGCCTACCATTTATGTTAGTGGATCATTGAACACCTCAAACAATGTAGTCATGGACACCTAAAGGTACTTTTGGGCCATACAATCCAAAAGTCTTGAAGAAGAGTAGATTAGATTGATGCATATGAAAATTGAGCAAACCAGGGGAAGACACCTCTAGTTTCGGGCAATTCAGAGAATCAATTCAGTGATATTTGATGAGGAAAAAACCAGCTCAGTAAAGAAACACCTTGGGAAAAGCTTCGACATAAAGAACACTGCCCAAAGAGTGCAGTTGGAAGAGCTGCAGACCTCAAACATGGAAAGAAAGAGTTTTGAGCTACACCCAGCCGGGTAATCAGCTCTGTGCCACATGGCTGAGCTTTGATAAAGGATCAGCAAATAAGATTTGAAGCAATTCAAAAAGCAAATGAATCCTGTTAAAAAAAAAAGGCAATAAGCATCATCTTGGTGGAGAGATAAGGAGGATAAGACCCCTCACCAAAGAGGAGTCTTGCCCTCCTTATCAACAGAAGATGGAGTCAAAGAGTCCTCAATCAAGGGGAGTCTTATCCTACCAACAAACCGTTAGGAAGCCTAGAGTCCGCTCCTGGAGGGAAGCTAATCCTAATATTTATAAATAGAGTTCGGGGAACACACACAAGAGGTATGCAACAACCACTCTAAAAGTCACTCTCCATTTTTCTTATAGAATACTAACTTAAGTATTGGAGAGTTGACCCCAGAGCTCTACCTCTAGTCTCCGACTTCTTTTCCAGGTGATCAGAGCTCTGCCTAGGTCTCGGCAATGAGCCGGGCTGCCCTAGCCCATGGTTTTTTAGCTCATAGCTTGCCCCTGGGCCAAGCTGGGTTGGGCCTGATCATTAAAAAAATTTAAGGCCCATGACCCGCCCTATTGTGCCAAAGAGTGAGCTAAACAAGGACCGGATCTAGTCCCTACTTTACTAAGCCATTTAGTCAATGATGGAGCCTTATGGGCCGCTATTTGGGCTTGAAACGGGTTCTTTTTAAAAATAATCATTTATGTAAAAATTACAAAAAATAAAAATAAAGTCATAAAGTTGGATATAAAAAAAATTAAAAAAACTTTATTCGTATTAATTGAATTTAACAAATATTCATCAATAATTACAATGCTACATTAATTGATGAATGAGACTATTTTGCATCACTATAAATTGAGTACATTCCAATTAGTTTGACACCTACACAATTATCAATCATTTTTAAGTCTCAGCTCTTTAAAAATTACAGATTAAATATCAAATCAGCAAAACAACTATGATTGGCTGGGTTAACGGCCATCCAGTGGACCAGCCTACTGGGCTTCTTGACAAGCCAGTCCATTGGGGTCCCAGCCCAAAAAATAGCCCAGGCCTTACCCGTTGGGCTAATGGGCTGCCCATGACCTGCCATGTGTACGGGCGGGGTGGCCCATTGGGCTTTTTGCCGAGGCCTAGCTCCGCTAGCTGATGTGCAGATTGTTATAAATTCTGCATCAACAATTTGACGTTGTTTGTTGGAACGATGAGAAATTCTTTTTATTCTCACAATTTTCCTTAAGTGGAGAATTCTAAATGGTAACTACCAGATCGATAGAGGCTACTGAAGACAATAACCCCTGGGGGGCACCATTCTCAAGAGCAATCAAAAGGGGATAATCATGACAGAGATCCCACTTGAATTAATATGCAGCACGAAACTCAGACAATGCTTAACCCGGAAAGAAATGACGATAGGATGAACCCAACCATGGAGGGTTTGGCCCAGCAAACCTAGCAAATCATTCAATTGCCTCCAATTTAGGAAAAACCTAGTGTGATCAGGCGAGGACACTAGAGATGAGCATAGCCACACCCCTCACCAACGGGAAAAAGATAAATCTCTAAACTGAAAGTTTAGAAAAGTCAATGATCGCATCGGAGATGTACTCAATACAGTGAATGCCAAATTCCTGAAATAGTGAAAACCCTAGTCCAACACACGGAGTCCTTTTTTTCACACTCCCAAGTTTAAGCTGTCTATAATAAACAGATTTGATGGAAAGAACGACCCTTTGGATCATCTGGAGACTAATAAGCCTCTTATGCTCATTTATAACGTTTCAGACCAAATGATGTGTTGAGCATTTTCCACAACTCTTAAGGGAACAACTTGACTCTGGTTCAACAGACTCCCATGAAGTTTCATTAGTTCATTTTTGAATTAAGTAAGTCCTTCCTTTCCCATTTCGTTGGAGGGCGAACTCACAGAAAGCCAACAACCTACCTACAAAACCTTAAGTACGGCTGGGGAGAGTCGTTGCATGATTACATGACACACTTTACTAGAAAAGTCATTGTAGATCTAGAATGTGGATGACAAGGTAGCTTTGATGCCATATCAAGTAAACTTTTGGAAGTTACACAAAAAACAGAAGGATCTGTTCCTAAGATTCGAATTGAAAAGCTTAATGCTTCCAATGTCCCATCTATAAAAATAATGATTTTGAACAAGTCCCTCAGTGGCACTAAAAGTTATTGTGCTTATAATTAACTTCCAAAGGAGACAGACAGAGTAAAAAATTGAACATTGTCTCCCATGAAACAAGGTGTTGAAGTTAAGTGTGTGACAGCTAAAAACTAAGCATAATTTCCAATTAGCCTCTAGTGTTTGAGAACTAAAACTTGAGCATCATAATAGTTACCACTTCAAGCAAAAAGTAATTTCAACATGACTGTAACTTCTAAATAAAACACATGGGATGCAATTGCTTAACATTCCAGACCTTCATCTATATACGAAAGCGTGTACATTAAAATCAAAGAAGACATGCAAGATGAGGAAATTGTAAATGGCCTTACTTCCTTCCATATGTATCTGATACAAAACCCCACAAGAATGCCCCAATCAGCATACCAGCAAAGACTACAGTTGTTATCATGCTCTCTTCACTAGAAGAGAGTCCCCACACAGACTGAACAGTTGGTCCTACAAAAGAGAGAATCATCACTTCCATGGCTTCTGTAGTCCAACCTAATCCAGCATACGCAAGCACAAGACCCTGGAATTTCCCAAACCTAATCGTAGAAAGTGCTTCATCCAAAGTGTATACAAGGCTCTGATCTCTCATCTACATAATCAAATAAAGAAGATTTTGAGAGAAGTAAAAACATCATTATCTAGTTGATCCCCATTTCATGAGGGTGATGCGAGTAATAGGTTGGGTACAGACCTAATGTTTAACATTTTTTCATACAAATTGGATGCCCTTAAAAAAGCCACAACCATGGTTTTTAGCCTGACACTTCAACCATTTGCCAGACAATGGACAATATTCTTGACACTGTATGTAGAGAAATACACACTGAAGTGTTTGTGGAAAAAGAGAATGAGAATGACAAGTTTTTCTACAAAGGTAGGCCAGCCCATTCACAAAAAGCTGGACATCTAGGCAATACCCTACATATTAAATAATTTGAGTAACTCGGATGTGAATACCTCAGAATTACGACCTCAAGCTCAAAGTTCAACTTCCTTGTTGGTTAGACCCAGGCGCATGATATACGAATAATCATGCCAATTACAAATTTATATTATAACAAGTTAGAAAACTGAGGCAGTTCTTTGTCTCCATAAAAATGAAGGATACACTAAATATTAGAAGTAGCTAACTGCTAACATTGTCCGAGTACTCAGAAAATACAAATATCAGCATGAACTGAAAGGGCTCAGAAATATAGATAAGTACCGATTGCTCCAAGTGCCTTGCAAGGACTCACTTCATGATTTGATTTTCAACTCGAAGAATCAAAATTTTGTTTCAAAATAGCTGAAACATTTCCATTACCATGAAAACCGATACAAATCAACATGGAAAGTGTTTTGAGATATGTTGACCTTTGTTTCAGAATGTTTTAAAAGCAAATTCTAGAATTCTTTTCCCGATTCCAGTCTGTTTTCAAAAACGTTTCCATTTCCTAACCGACAGGAACAACTTTCCAAATAAAATTTTGGCCCTTGTTTCAACTGAAAAATAAATGCCCTGTGGAAAGAAAAGAATCTCTCCTACGAGATCTACAAAGGCCAGAGTGCTCTATACATTAGCTTATTGCCAATCAAAAGGATTGCCAAATTAGTGCTATGATCATAATTGTTGATTTCATTCAATAAAAGTTTATAAAAGCATGAAAAGGAATCAGGATTTCAAAACGGAATTCTGAAATTATTCAACGAAAAACAAAAGAGGGGCAAAAAAAGTCAGCAGGAATGCACCTTCCAAAATGAGAATTTGCCCCTTTAAGCTCGCTCCAAAAGCCTCAGTTGGATTACAGTTTTACCAAGTGAATCCCCCTGTTGTTCTTGTTGCAGAGCCAAACAAATAAGAACAATGCAATAAATAAGAACAATGCAATAAATAAGAACAAGCATCGCCATTCGCCAAATAAATATACCTAATCACATCACATTGATTATTCATGGAACATATGATATGTCTTTTACTCTACCTAGTACCGATATTAATATACAGGGGTAATTTAAATTGTATTTTGGAAGATCGTTCGAATATTAATTTGTGCCTTAAAAATAAAAATTTTTAATTTATATTTTCAAATATAAAAATTTGTATTAACTTGTAATCTCAAAAATCAAAAATATTAATTTGTACCCTAGAAATTTATATTAATGTACACTTAAAACTGACCGCGTCAGTTTAATACTTAAAATTAAATTGATAAATTATACATAGATCTCCTTATACTTGTCACTTAATCATTTAGATCCCTTCACATTTAGAATATTACTCCTATATCTCATGATATTTGTCACTTAATCATTTAGATCCCTTCACATTTAGAATATTACTCTTATATCTCATGACATTTGTGCATTGTAACACGTAATCTATTTTCGTTGATATCTGTTAATATAACTGATAAAAAAATATAATTTTATTTTAATAAAAAATTATAATTTTTATCCCTTTATTTTGTGAAAGAGTGCAAATGATTAAGTGACAAGTGTGAGGAGATTTAAATATAATTTATCGATTTAGTTTTAAGCAACAAACTGACGGCGGTTAGTTTTTGGTGGACATTGATACAAATTTCTATCTTTGAAAGTGTAAATTGAGAATTTTGATATTTGAGGGTACATATTAATACAAAATTTTATTTTTGAGAGTGTAAATTGAGATTTTTAATTTAAGGGTATAAATTAAAATTCAAACTATCTTTTAGGGTATAATTTATAATTAACCCTAATATATATTTCGCTGATTGAAAATTCGTGGGGCATATTTTTAGTTTATTTTGTTTCAAAACAGAGCCGCCGTTACATCTCCATGTCGAGGGGAGAGTAACTTTTGACACACAAATTAAATGCCACCTGTGGGCGCCAGTAGCCATAAATAAAACTTCCGTACATTGTACACTGACAATATTTGCTTCTTTCCCACACAGGAATCATGTCTATTGAGGACGCACAAAAACACACACGGGGAAGGCTATGGTACCGACCGATCAAAATTCGGCACGGTAATCAAAAAAATATGTGATCCTCAAATTTTGTCATTAAATACTAAAAAATTACTCACTAAAAACAGGATAATTTTGCCAAATAAAAATTGTACCATTTTTTTATAAAAGTTGTAATTTCAATCGTCATTTTTTTGTGATACTTTTACCTTTATTAATTATAATTTTATATACAAATATAGTAATTTTACCATAAATAGTTATAATTTCACTTTCAAATATTGTAATTTTACTTTTAATTATTATAACCTTATTTAAAGAGTTTGTACCTCATCTTTAAAGGTGATAACTTTATCTCAAGAGAAATATTTGTATCTTTACAAATAATAACATTACATTTAATAGTCATAATCGATCATGATTAATTAAAATCGATTCCATTGCTAATTTTTTTTTTTTTTAGGATTTTACTCAATTAAGATCAATCTCAATGCCAAATTATGTTTTAATTTTTTTTTTTTTGTGATTCCACTCAATTAAGATCGATCATGACTATATGAAATAGATTTTAATGCATTTGATGATCCAAAAATTGGGACCAAATTAAATTTCTGGTAGCTCCAATAAAATAGGATCGATTACGACTAGCTGAACTTTTTTTTTTTTTTTTTTTTTGTGAAATGGTCCCGATCCTATATTTAATTACATTAAATTGACATTTTATGAATTAATTTTAATTTTATGAATTTTAAATTAATTTTAATTTTATGAATTTTAATTTTATAATTTTGAATGTTAATTTAATACAATTGAAGGTCAATTTAATGTTATTTTTGATGAGTTGAGTGTTAACTAGATAAAATTAAAAATTAATTTTATAAAATTACATGTCAATTTAACTAAATATAGGATCGAGACTAGTTAAAAAAAAATTCATAAAATTAACATTAATTTAAAATTCATTAAATTAAAATTAATTCATAAAATGTTAATTTATTTTATGAAATTACATGTCAATTTAATGTAACTAAATATAGGATTTGGACCAATTCAGAAAAAAAAAAAAAAAAAATTTTTGGCTAATCGTGATCAATCCTATTTAATTGGAACCATCAGAATTTAGTTTCGTCCTAATTTTTGGACTATCAAATGCATTAAGATCGAGCTCATATAGTCATGATCAATCTTAATTGAGTGGAATCACACAAAAAAAAATAATAATAATAATTTGGCATTGAGATCAATCTTAATTAATCATGATCGATCTTAATTGAGTGGAATAGCAAAAAAAAAAAAAAAAATTGGCATTGGGATCGATCATGACTATTAAATGTAATGTTACTACTTACAAAGACAAAATTATTACTCTTGAGATAAAATTATCACCTTTAAAAGTGAGGTACAAACTCTTTAGGTAAGGTTACAACAATTAAAAATAAAATAATAATTTTTAAAAGTGCGATTATAAGTATTTTTGGTAAAATTATTACCTTTAGATATGAAGTTATAAATATTTAGGATTAAGTTACAATTAATAAAAGTATAAGTACCACAAAAAAAGGGCGGTTGAAATTACGGTCTTTAGAAAAATGGTATAATTTTTATCGGTAAAGTTACCACATCTTTAATAAATAATTTTTTAACATTTAATGACAAAAATTAAGAACGATATATTTTTTCGATACCGTACCGAATTTTGACCGGTCGGTCCCATAGCGTTCCCCAAAACACATGGTTTGATTAATTTTTCTTCACGTCATTGTCGTTAGCACACTTTACGTGCACGCAAACTGTACTTCAATATCTTGACTATTTTGGAATTATTTGGAAATATCAACACCAAACGAGTTTTTGACATTTGTACGATAGACAGAAAAAAAAAATGTGGAAAAAGATTGCAATTGAAATTAGAGGCGTAAATTCGAGTTTAATTCAAAAAATTTAAGGTTTGAGTTAAAATTTTTAATACTTGAGTTAGACTTGAGTCAAAAAATCTCAACTCGAATTTAATTTGAGTGAGTTTCAGGTTCAACCCGAATTAATGTCTCACTTTGGAGTTCCATTCCCGAGGCATGCAGTAACTATGACAATTTGTCTATTGGAGAAATTGCAGCCAAGCACCTATTTAACGGTGCTTTAAAACCTGGCTTGACCCGGCGCATCAACTTGGTGAATCGGTTTCTTAACCGGGCCGAATTTGTTAAAAGACCGTTTAAGTAAAGAATCTCGGATAAATCCGTTGAACCGGTCAAAAATTGGTTAATCCGTGAGAACAAGACGAGTTTATCAAACCGACGGATTTATTTTCATTAGTATAAATATGAAATTTTTTCCATCATTTGGGCATTTTATGTAAACCCTTTCTGTTTTGCCCTAAATCGTTGCAAACCAGCGAGAAAAGCCTTCACTCCAGTGATCAGCAGGCTGAAACGATCAGCTCCACCACTAACGACTGACTAGTGACACTCCAACACCAGCAGGCAGTCGACTCCAGCGATTCTAGTCCAGTCGAGTGAGTTTCCCTCTCCCTCTCTCTCCCCCTTTTTCTCTGTCTTTTTTGCAATTCCAGTCCAGTGGACTGACCAGAGACTTGTGAATGCATTTATGTACATAAATAAGTGAAGAAATGGAGGGATACCCAATTCCAAAATTGAAA